CATTCATCACTGCCAAAAGTTCCAGCCTGCCAGAAATGATAAACAATATTTTGATGGTTATATTTCAGTCTTTAACCCAGCATTTTAGGAACACTGTTCACTGAGAAATAAATACAAAGAATTAAGGAAAAATTTCCACAAAATAGGGTGGGCTGAAGTCTTGAAATGGAGAAGTACATACAGGTAAGTATCTCCATTCAGAATAGTTACGACCCCAAAACACTTTGACTTACATAATTTAAATTTTAGCTTCAATTTATAATATCTTATACTCTAGCTAGCTAACATTCAGATTTCTTTGGAAAAAAACCCCAAACTACTTAGCATTAATCAAACTAGCATTTCTCTACTTAAAAGGAGACGGGGACATTTTCACATTAGACTACTTAAGGCTATGATTTTTTTTTTTAAACACTGTCTCCTTTCAGGCTCTCTCAGACAAGGAAGGAAGGAAAGTGCCATTCACAAGACCCTGCTGTGAAGTTACTCTGCAAAATGAGGACTGTTTTCCCCTGCCTCTTGTCTGCTTCAACTGTGCACGAGACCTAAGAGTGCAAAATTCTCATTAGTGTTCCAGGTAAGGTCTCTTGTGCCTAACACTTCTACGGTCTCTTCTGCGTGTAAGGGAGGCTGGTTTGGGAAATTCTGGGGATCCTAATGTCAGATACGGTATCATCATCTCTGTTTTTCACCAGTGCTCACTAAAACTGATAGCGTGTCCTGAAGCTGTTTTCTGTTCTCGGAAAAAAACAGCTTTTAATTTGGGAACTACTGTGTCAGGTCCTCAGCTTCACGCTGTTTGATCTCTGTTCAGCTTCTCAAAGCAGGTGGTAGGAGCTCGGCTTTTTGCTCCTGTAAGGCAGAGTTTCTAACTCCTAGTCCCGAAATAAGATGAGTGCACACGGCTTCATTTTTTTTAATGCAGCAGCAATTCTAACCTAAATAAATGGATTTTTTTTTTGCTTTTTAGTGTTATGAATGTTTCTCAGGGTCATGAGATGAAGAAACATTCTCCTTTTCAAAAGACGGGCGAAATCTTCATGTAATCATTGGTCTTCATCAACTGAGGCTTAAGGTAAAATACGAAATGTTGGGAGATTCCTGATGAAGTCATGCACATTGACAAAACAGCATCAGAAGTATCAGGAGACTGGCTGTGGTGGGAAGGTCCCAGGGAGAATACTGGGAGAAAGGTTTCTGTGGTGTGTTTTTCTCTTTACACACGTACTTCCAAGAGCTGGTCATCTTGGACTTTCCTTATTAGGAGATCAGACTTTGCCTGCTGTGTATCCAGCCTTATCTGGGAGGCCACTTTATTTCCCTGCAGGTAGACAACGTTAACCACCATTTCAAAAATTTCTTGTCGCAGTCAATCTTCACTACTTGGGGCTAGTACAGTCAGGGCCTGTGCTATGACTGTGCAGCATTTCTTTGGCCTCAAGATTTGCTACCTGTTTCTTGTATTTTGCAAGGAAACTACAGTTTATTATCAAAGTCACCAGGAGAGAAAGAATTTGAGGCCATTTGCCTTATTTTTGTGCAACCCTATTTTGAAAATGTTCGCTATTTGTTCCGCGAGCTGCAAACAGTACCTGTGTCTCTGGAGTGCCACCTGTCTGAAGAGCTCAGCTTGCCACGGCTGCATTCCCCAGCGTGACATTAGCTGGGGGGGGGGCACAAAACAGAGAAAAACGTATGGCTGAAACCCTTTGATGCTCTAAGTACCATTTGTAGTTCATACAGAAGTCCATTCCATAGGATGTTCATAAGCTAAGTTTCTGAAACTTCAAAACAGTAAAAAATGTGTTTTGTTGTAGGATAGCCTAGCAGCTGTCAAGGACCCAGACTGAGAGGATGTATGTGGTATCCCCACTAGAGTTTTGCATTAGTGGTAACGCTAGTGGCTGTAACTTATTCTTACAATATCGGTAGATATAATATGGAATCCAGTAGCGGAAATGATTCAAGTAATTAACATGCCAAATGAGGATATCTCTTTATTTCAGTGTTCATGTTGAACATTGCTATTGTCTTGAAGAAAATTCTTGCTTCTTTGTAAGGGGGGAAAAAAGGAGGGAGAGGTGGAGGAACAAGTGAAGTTAAGTCCTCAGGGATGAAAGATTTCAGTGTGTCTATTATGTCTAAAATGTTTCTTGTCTAAGTTTTCAGTAGACCATTAAATGAAAAATTACCTTTTTTTAAGTCTTCTACACAAGAGCAGTCAAGTGAAACCATTTGTTTACAAAGTCTGGATGCATAAGAACATAGGGAAGTATGCAGGTGTAATCACAGCATAATAACCTTACCTTTAACCTAGGCTTTGTTTATCTTTTAATACTGTGGGGGTTTGTTACTTTTTTTTTATCCAAAGGATTTTGAAAGAGTAGATTAATGTTTCTCAGTAGAAAGTAAAATACTATTATAAGTTATTGCTGCTTTCTGCTTTAACGAGTACTGTAAATCTAGCTTAACAGAAAAGCCCTACGGTATTATACACAGACTTCTGGGTGGCAGAGAGCATCCCATCAATGCCCTGTATACCTCAAAGCAGCTACTGCCTCACTGCAAAGTTCACAGCTCCTCCGTGTTAAAAAGAGAGGTGTAAGACATTAGATACAGCCTAACCATTAGTTTTTAATGTTACAGTGAAATGGGCAAGACCCCCATCTTGTCCTGGCAGGCCCTGGGGGGCTGCAGGTGCCGGGTGACCCCGCTGCCATTGCCATCTTCCAGCGCCAGCTTGGGCTTTCTGCCGCCATTGGTGCTCTCGCTGCTGGGTAAAAATGCATACTCACATCCTGGAAAACATCTCGGGTTGGCCAGATCATCTTTTCCTGACATTCCTTTTTTCCCCTGAAGCTTTCATTGTTGTTACCTTTGAAATGTTAGTAGTACAAAAGCAAACGGGCGTAGTCAATAAATCTGTTTTAGTAAAGTACAGTCTGTTTTACTGCTCTCTTAATGCACGTGTACCTGCTCTAGGACTGACCTCTCCGTAAGGCTTGTTTTTGGGAGTCTCCTCTCTGCTTGGGAGGGCCTTCACAGGAGGAGCTCTCGCTGTCTCTTTCCAACGTGTTGCTGTTTATCACCCGCTTCACCTCCCGTTACTGGGACAGCCACTGAGCGGTTTTGACTCATGCAGAAGTGATTCAAATCAGAAGTGAATCTTTGTTACTTTGGGGCCTTGTTTTGAAAACTGCTTTTTTCTTCGTAGCTGTCTAAAAGCCTTCAGCTGTATTTGAAGAACTGAACGCCCTTGCTTCTACCTGGCTGTGTAAGTGCTCGGCACCGCTGCCTTCAGCAGAATCTGAACTCGTTGTCTTCTGGTTTTACTTAACGGTCTCTTACGCGAGGTCGTCAGTACCGTTTTTGCTTTGCTCACGAAGCGTTCGTGACCCATGCGTGTAATAATGCCGCAGTGCCGACATCTGCAGGGGGGGGGGGGGGGGGGGGGGGGGGGGGG